CACTGTCTGCCTGTGGCCAGGAGTGGAACCTGCTACTCCTGCAGGTCTTTTTTTTTTTTTTTTTTTTTTTTAAAGATGACCAGTAAGGACATCTTAACCCTTGACTTGGTGTTGTCAGCACCACGCTCTCCCAAGTGAGCTAACTGGCCATCCCTATATGGGATCCGAACCTGGGGCCTTGGTGTTATCAGCACCACATTCTCCCAAGTGAGCCACAGGCCGGCCCATGCAGGTCTTTATCTGGTAGTAAAGACCTTGTTCCTCACAAAAATCACATGTAGAGTTTACTGGATCACGTTTTAAGACCATGAGAAAAAACCCAAATTGTTTCCCAGTCCCACTTACACAGCAGCGCTGTCTTTGCGTGTCCGTCTATGTGTCAGCATCGAGCACTGCTCTTGTTTGGGAGGGAATGAGGTGGATGGGAACAAGCTCTGGACCCAGACACGGGCAGCCCAGTGCCAGTGTGGCTCAGGTGCTCAGTCACTTTGGCTGCGCAGAAAAAATCATGTCGTCTCTCCAGACCTGTAAAGTGAGGGAGTGGAGTGAAGCGGTGTTTCCTCGAATTTCTGACAAACTACCTGGACTCCTGTTAAAATGCAGCTCCCCATCCAGCAGGTCTGCACTTGTAGCCAGCTCCCAGGTGATGCTGACGTCACCGTGAGTGAAGGGGCTCGGGTGATCTTCCAGTCCCTGCCAGCTCTGAGCATCTGTGCTTCCAGTGGCCGCTTGGCGATGCGGGCCACCTGCTCCTCCGCGATCGGCAGGGCAAGCTCGTGCTCCTCCTGCTCCCTCGGGGTCGTGATCAGGCGGGTTGAAGGCGTCCACTCTGGTACGAGCCAGGACAATGTGCTCTGGAGCCTCCAGTGTCGCATGTGGGTCTCTCTGATCCCAGCGGAGTCTGCATTATCTCCCCTTCCAGCGGGAAAGTGCGGACGAATGTGAGGTGTGCTGTAGAGGGGGACAGCTGCTCAGCTGCGACACTTGTCCACGAGCCTTCCATGAGGACTGCCACATCCCACCTGTGGAGGCTGAGAGGTTAGTGGGACGCGGCCCCCCGTACACACAGCGCTGCGCTGCGGCGCTGCCTCTCGCTCAGCTCCACGTGGAAGGGCACGAGCCGGGAGCAGCGTGTACGAGGGTGGGGTGCAGAGCTGGCTGCTTCAGCCACGGCTCTTCTGGGCCTTGGAGGCTGCGACTCAGCCACTTGACCCCACGCTGCCACAGCCCCTGGGAGACGCTCTTTCCTAGTTTTGCAGCAGGGACTCCTGTCCCAGGGGGACTGCAGACAGGAAACGACAGGAAACATTGTTGATGTTCCCAGCTTATTCAGGAAGGGCAGGAAGCATGGCTTGTCCGGCATTTCACCATGGTCCCATCAGGCTGACCCCAGGTCCCGAGGTCCCCAGGGGTTAAAGCCCAGTTTCCAATTCTCGGGCCTGTCGGGCGGGGCTCCTGCCACTCCCAGCAGCTCAGATGGGGAAAGGGGAGCCCACCACTCGATGACACCACCTTGCTCAGACTGTCTGCCTGCTGCTGCCACTGATGGGAGGGGGCCATCGGCTGGACACTCCCATGAGGGTCTTGGACACTCTGGGAGGTGTCCTCCACCCCCACAGCTGAGCCCATCGGCCATTCCTGAAAGGAGCACAGTGGCAGCCACAGGAGCGGTGGCTGTCTCCAGGGTCCTTACCCTCTGCTCACCTCATGTCCGACCTCTCAGGACCCCGTGGAGTTGCACCTTCTGCAGGATGAAGGAGTCTTCTGGAAGACAACAGTTTCATCGGGAGTCTGATGTCCTGGACAGGCAGATGGGGACTGAGGAACAGTTGGTGAGTGGGATACAAAATCCAAGCCTCCTCTCCCCTCTCATGTCACCACCACAAACCACACAGGGTCATGAGATGGCACCCAAAGGGAGCCTTCAGTGTCTCACTTTAGAGGATGACAATTGAATGCCGAAATGTAGAGTCTGAACAAAATTCCACCCACCCCAGGGACCTTGGGCGAGCATGACAGGAGTGCTGGTGTGCGGCTGCTCCTGTCCAGGGGGCCCCGCTGGCTTCTCTTTCTCCAGCTGCATTTCACATCAAAACCCTCTTCGCATTTTACAGAAATGTGAGTTCCTCCTCTTGAAGGCCTACCGTCATCCACAAAGCTCCTTTTTTGCGGAGACCCCACGTAATGTAAGTCGCATTCCGTGATTCTGTTATGTGAAACACATTGGAGAAATGTGGGATGTGAGTCCTGCAGATGCTGCTGTTTGCTCAGGAGGCAGGACAGCAGGGCTGTAGCTGCAGACGCTGGAGCGGGGCCACCGACTCGCTCTGGTGCACCAGGCAAGTTGCCTCGTGTCCGTGTATCTCGGTCTCATCTCCTCGTTAGTGGGAATGTCTTTCTTACAGACAGACTAGGTATCGAGTACAGATGCCAAACTGTGGGTTCCAGTCCCAGCTCTGCCACTTTCTAGCTGAGGTTACTGGGCCTCTCCAGCCCTTGATTTCCTCAACCGTGAAATGGGGGTAAATATTTATGGTACCCATCTCCTAGGGTTGTTGTGGAGATCACGTGTTCATCCATGTGACAGTGCTTAGAACAATGCCTGGCGTTGAGATGTCACATGTCATTATCACTGTTTCCCTAGAAATAAAGGCTTGTATTGTATTGAAGATGGATCCATTGAAGTGATGACAGCTGTGCTAACATCACCCCTTTGTTGGCTTTGTCCCTAGATTCGAGATTATGGTGAGCCCTTTAAGGAAGCCATGTGGTTGGACCTGGTTAAGGAAAGGCTGACTAAGGAAGTATACACAGTGGCGTGGTTTGTGCGGGACATGCGC